GGACTCTATACGCTTCTTTCTCCAAGGGAAAACTTACGTTTTGTTGGGTTTTATTAAGGACATGGTAGTTTAAGTGGACCTTGTTTAGGATTATGATAGGCTTTAAATGAGGTGTATTTATGCGAGCTTTAAAGGATAATTGTTCCTTGATAGCAATTTAAAGTTAAGTTTAGCTCTTTCTACATGTATGAGGCAAACAGTGATCTTTTATATTATTTTCTTTAATCATGGATGACTAAGAAATCAACATTGTCAGAGAAAGCAGTTGTATCTCATTATTTACTGATCAAAATTGGTTGTAGCCAGATGACCAGGGCAGGGATAATATAAATCATTCATTGGATGCATTGGTGATAAAAAGGACATCAAGTTGACAGTCGAAGAAACAAAACTACAGGAAGGGCACATCCTTCTTAAATGACCAGTTGTTAGAGGTTTCTTTGCAGTTATGAAAATGTAGTCAGTCTTTTTCTAGAGTCTTCCAGGTAGCTAAAATGACTTGGCTCAGGAATGATATATGGGAAAAAGCTTAAAGTTAATGCAAACGTATTATGCTAACTTGTGCTAACACTGTGCCAAAGCGCTCAGCATGAGGAGACCAAGCTAGGAAATGCTTCAGCTGGCATCCTGCTGGCACTTCTGTGGTCAGCTCTAGTCACTAAAGTCATTAGTCCCTGTCAGGGAAGGATAATGTGTTTGAATTTCTGCACGTTAAACATTCACACTTACATTTATACCCACTTTTGCCTTTATTTGCTCTTTAGCCTTACAAATCCAGAAGGTCTAGAGAATGTTTTTAGACAGGAACAATTCATTTGTTGTTTGTTTTCTTTTTAATCAGCCAGATCTTATAAAGTGAAGAGAATCTGCATATACTTTATAAAATGGGAATTTATGAGATGAATGAGGAAGGTTCTTCTTGGTCCTGGTTAGAGACTGGAAAGATAAACTTTGTGGGAAAGTTGCAGATAAAACATTGTTCTTGACACAAGACATTGTTGA